ACCCACTCATTTTCGTCATCGCAACATGTATTTGATCAAAGTTGATCGTTTACCTCTTGGTAAGTTGTAAATAAGCAACTTTTCTCTGTAGTATGTAGAGCACGACATCTGCTTCGTCTTTACACATGCCATGTAAGAAAAGACAGAACGAAAAAATGCAATATGTAAGCACAGAGAAAATGTCGAATCGTGGACCCTGATGAGAAAAGTTGCTTATTACAACTTACCAAGAGGTAAATGATCAGATTTGATCAAATACATGTTGCGATGACGAAAACGTGTGGGTTGATGACAATATCGACCTACCAGAGCAACGCTCTACATCAAAAATAACATGGTAGTATATCTCTCAGTTGCAGGATACGTTTTTTCATTACATTTTGTTGATAAAATCATTTTTAGCAACGAACTGTTACTCTGTAATATATGTGTATCATTGTAATTTTTTGGGATAAGACTATAGTGAAATGTAAAGTTATATAGGCCATTGTTTCTTTCATCAAGTATGATAATTGTATATCTCTAGACTGAATGTATTGATAGTTAGTAGTCAACGAGGGTTTCGACTGTTATATGAAAAAGTTCTCTTAGCAATGAAAAAGAATTGAACTAGTCAATTTTTATTGTACTTTGGTGCAGATATTTCTCGTCCATTCCTGAAGTATGTTATATCTAGCAAGACATCATGGAAATCGAGGAATATTATTGTAAAATCATGTCGAAGAAAAATAGAATTCTTTATGTTTGAAGGATAAATTACTGAAAATCGATATTTTATGGAATAAAAGTACATTGTTTTCCATCACTGTAAGTATTACAACAGTGATAAAATAATCTAATTCATCATCTAATGAAGAGAGAAAAATCGTTGTAAAATATTTAATAAAACCATGAAAGGAACTTATCAGTTTTGAAATAGGAGGAATTCGAAAAAAAATAGCTAAACTTTCCATCATTGAAACAAAGATAAGATATTTATTGCCATTTTACGCCGTGTGAAGAAAATTAAAAAAAAATGTGAGAATAAAGTGAACCTCGATTTCACCAACGGTTCCTTGGTTGAAAAGAAGCAAAGAATTCTACCTTGAATCTTCTCCAACTTTCACCAGAAAATATTTGCTCTTTTTTCTTCATTCCGTGAATTCACTTGAAAGGTAAGGTGCGACTTATAGATAAGCTATCAACGATAGAATATCAATTAAACTCTCTTGTGGTAGAGAACTATGAAAGGTAAAGAAGAATAAAAAAATGAAATTCTGTCAGCTTATATCGAACTTTATGAAGAGGAAAAGCGTGCAATTCTTTTGCGTAAGATCTTATATAAAAGAATAATTAGGAGATCAGTGAAACGTGGTTGTAAATAAAAAAGTGAAACAAACTTTGGTAACTCAAATGTGTTTCGAAATAAACAATAATAATAAAAATGTCTGATATTATGCTTCGATTGACAATAATAGTTGAGTTGAATTGTTTACGATTAAACATAGTTTCAGAGATTTTTGTCGAAAGATTTCATGCTTGTGCATAAAACATTTATTTGTATTTAGAGATGAACCATTATAGCTCTTCACTTCTCTGAGCTTTACTTAAAATTAAGAAAAAAATTTTCTTATCGACATTGTTTGTCTGTGCCAGTCACAAATATAATTCAGCTGTTTTCAATTTAAAATATTCATGATAATGTTTTCTATCGACCAGTACTGCCATCTCTTATTTACTATTGAAATTTCTATCAAATCAAGAGGTACTGGACCATTAGAAATATTAGTTTTGCTTTGTTCTTCTTGGTCCGCTTGATTTCATCAGTAAACAAAACAATCATGTGTTTCGTTTTATGTTAGTTATCATACTACAACGAACTTATGAAATATCATTAGAGCAGTTGCATCAGAATGTGAATGATGAATACACATCGTTATTTTATTGGGAATGTTTTCATTTAATTTTTCAATAAAGAGGGTTCCCGATTCCCGAAGGAAACGGGAGTGGACCGAACTCGACGGCACTGCAGTGTCGAGACGATCCGTGGCACGGGTCCGAGTGAACTCGGGGTCCCGGCCGATGTCCAAAAATCCGCTTGAAAGAGCCTGGCCCCAATGGGACCAGCGCCGGCTTTCAAACCGACGAGAACAGATACTACACTTTGATCTTAGCCGAAAAGGCCGAGAAGCGATAACTTACCTATTTGACAGAAAGCTCGATATGCGTTCTGTGCTTACACACCACACAGTGTGCAGAACGAAAAAAAAAGATGTGATGTGTAAAGACAAGCAAGATGTCGTGCTTTGCACGTGCACGAGAAGAGTTGCTTAATACAACTTACCAAGAGGTAAATGATTAAATCTGATCGAAAACGTGTTGCAATGACGAGAATTCGCGGGTTGATGGTAACATTGACCTGCCAGAGCAACATTCCTTTTCTAAATGCTAATGAATTTCTATCCAACGTTATATCGATCATCAGAAGGACGTCTGCTATATTCATTTTCTCCAGGGCACATAGTTCTAAATAATACGTGCAGATGTGATAGCTTAGGATTGGTATCAAACCACTCTTTCTTTCTTATCAATATAATGTTCATGACGAGAGCATATTCTTACCGTTCGGAAATTTTCCCGGTTATCATAAAATATTCGCAACGTTTTCGAGAAAGAAAAGTAACGATCCAACAGATAAAATGGGATTTTAATTTTGTTTACTATATTGGAAAACTGCACAGAATTTCTCTTCGATATTTTTTTTTTTGAGTAGTTCATATTTGATTTTGTTGGTTGGTTTAACATGTTGTTGAATAGAAGTCATTGATAGTAATATTTGAACTATGGATATTACTCTTGTTTATCTTCATCTAGATCCGTTTTGTTTTAGAATTTCATGTAGTAATCGTCATTGATCTTTTCGTGTTTGAAAGAATAGATTATCTTGTTCATAAACTAATTCTGTTATGACTTTGTATGAATAACCTTGATTTATAAGAAAAATTTGTTGTTTAACTGAATAAAACACTTCAACAGCATCTTAAGAAATAAGTGATTTAAAAAAATATTATATTCCTAAATATTAGCTTTTTTTAGGTCGTACTTCACAGCCAAGTCGTTGTTCTGCTTGTCTACTTGATCCTCCATGACTTGAAATTTATATTAATACATTCGCATCAAATCAAATCATGTGTTTGTAACTTTCAAAACAAAAATTGTTTTTACATTTGGATCATGTTAAATATGCATAAGTTGTTTAAGTTAACATTATTATCGCAAAAAAACGATTATTTTATCATCACATTGTTCATGATTACGTATTAAATATTCACATGTACGAAATTTATTTGGATTTATGATACATGAAAGTGAATATCAATGTTGATCATTATTAATTGATGCATATTATTGATCAAATTCTGGTGTCATTCAACAAAGTTACTTCATCCGATTTAACTTTAGCAATATGATCTAAATTGTGTAATTTTATCCAATTAGCTTCATATAATTCAGATCCAATTAAACAATTTAAATCAATTATTTTATTATCTTCTCTAACTAATGTTGTACGACATAATTTTGTATGAGCATGATCAGCAGTTAACCAAATTTTGAATCGTTGTTTTTATTGCTGAACAGATACATTTGAATTATACATTACTAAACAATTTTTATTTGTTGTACAAGTAGTAGCTATACTACCAAGTACAAATATTTCTACACTAAATGAGAGAACAATTAAACGAGATCGTATACGTCGATTATGAAACATATTTCTTTAAACTTTTTTCTTGATGAGATTGTAAAATCGCCTTATATATAGAAGTTAAATATTAAAATTTTCACAATCGTATCATGATGAAAATCATATTCATCAAGCAATGGATACTCTAATTCCTGACATCGTTTTCGTAAAAGTTCAATTTTATTTGGAATAACCTCAAATGAAACTTTTTTTAAAAATCTTCATCGTCGTAATCAATTTTTTCATATAAACGTTGTATATCATCAGATATTTGTTCATATGTTGTTGTGATTTCTTTTGTAAGAACTGTTGCAGAAATAAGAAATTTGAAATTTTTCTATTATATTGTGTTTATATCAATGTTATTCTCTGTTGATGGTAACCGACATTCTTGACTTTGTGACTCATCTAGAATATTTTTTAAAACATCAGGAACAGAATTGTCAACAAGATATCGATTATATTGTAATACTAATTTTACTTTTCTATAACTTGATGTATATAATTTAATAAACTGATAATTTATATTTTTCTATATATTCTGACACACTATAGGTTCAGCAATAGTTATGAAAAAATCATGAGATTTTTTTTTTGTAAGCTAATGCTAATGATTCAAAAAAAATATGATCATCTTGTGCAACCCATCATAGACGATTTTTATGATCTACTCTACGTTTATATCTGAATGAAAATCTTTCAATGTTACACTAATTGTTTTTGTTCTATATGACTTATCAAAATCATCGTGTTCACCGTGAATTTAATCATCTAACTGTCGAGCAGAGTACTGTAGGACAATACTTTTTTGTACACTATATCCTATAATATCATAAGCTTTCCAGAATTTGACAGATATGAACATGACATTTGTTTTAGAATGATGAGATAAATGCAGTTTTATATATATTATTTGTATCGAATGAAATACATAATAAGAATCATAAAATAACTTTTGGATCCCAAGATTTACTATCCAGAGTTGTAATGGGTAACGATAAACGACTGATGTGCTTCTGTAGAGATAAATTTTCCTTTATCGCTCGTTCTGGATTTTTCTACAGTTTTTGCATTGTTTTTTTTTTCAAATATTTGAGCACAAAAGTGATATGAGTGTGGGTGTGGTTGAGTGTGGCTGGAGTGTAGTTGGGGTGCCGATGTGGTGAGGCAATGATAAGCAACAACTACACCCACACCCACACCCACACCACCCACATCCACACCCACACCCTCACACCCACACCCATACCCACACCCACCCTCAGTTTATAATGAGTTAATGTGTCACAGTATATTTTATGGACGAGAAATCAAATGGTAATGGTGGAAAACTCAGGATGCGTACTTTTCCATATGTTATTGGATGTTCATTAATCAATGAAACAAGTTGATTTTGAAAAATAATTATCTCATCAGCAATATTCATTGAATGTTTAACATCCTTTTTTTCATTTTTATAACGATCCCAGCACGAGGATAGTATTGTTGGAATATCAAATAAACCATTACATTCTTTCTTCTCTGGGTCCCATTCGAGAAAATATACGAACATTGGACGATGTGTATCATTACCCGGCCGTTCTTTTGGTTTACCTTGTATAACAAATGGATTCGGGAATGACGATAGGTTTTTTACAAATACTTTCATATCAGAACCGTCCAGATCACGAGGGACAATAATAAACAATTGGCCATTCTTCAAATGATATTCTTCGAATTTTCCGCGTGTTACTTCCATGTCGATTGGTGTGTGTCCTTCGTCAATCGATCGAATATTTGCCGCCGTTGGTACGATAAAATTATAGAAGTAAGCCAAAGCCATACCCATACCTGCTGATTGTTTTGCTCTTTGCAATTCACGTTCCAAACGTTGAATTCGAATTTGTTCGTCTTCAACAAGAAAAAAGAATTTTGTTATCAGTATTAATAGTGCTGTGGCAAACAGAGCATAGCCGACGACTAGCTGATCCTGTTGTTTTGCAATGACGACAAGAACTATTCCGATGACGAGTATAATCAGAGCAGTTCCCATTTTTAATAGATTCATTTTTCGAAACATCGATGCTCCTGTTAGAACTAACCAGGTACTCAATATTACTAGCATAATGCCAGCAATGAGGAATGCAGCACCAAACGATTTTAATAAAAGATTGCGACCAATACTTGAGAATAACCAGAGACCACTGCCTAGAAGTGCAAGAAACAGAATAAAGTCGAGCAACATTCTAGTCTTGAGATGATGTTGATGAGCCAGTTGGAGTGGAGATACAACTTCGAAGATTGGATTCTGTAGTTCATCGATATCACTGGTATATTTAGGCATTGGTATCAGATTAGGTGCTGATATCATATCTTCCATTTCAATTTTGACGTTAGACGACATAGTTATAAGTTTAGAAGAACAATTTATTCGAATCTGAAATATTTGTGTTTTCCTCAGAATAATAATTAGTTAGTAAAATTTTGGCACATACAAGTGCTATTTCTTCAGACATGCTTTTTCGAATCTCTCTTACACAACAAGGTCGTTATGATATTAATCCCGACATCAAACAGTTTTCTTAGTTTTCAATATCGTTATTAAATATTTAGAACAATGTAGGTGTGAAAGGTGAGTATCGGCATGCATTTTCTCTTCATACATGTGCATGGTCACATCCCCATCTCTGATATATCCGAGGCACATATAATCACTGCACTCGATATCTAGAATATTGCTACAAGACAAACTTGGCATATTTGTGCCCTGAAATTTGCACTTTTTTCGGACGTGTAAGCAAATCAACTATATCATTTTCTATTAATTGATAAAAATCATACGTTCCATGTTAAAACACACAGAATAACATAAGTTTTCATCATCTAAATCTTCTAGAAAAATTCTGGGAGTGAACACAGATTCCATGTTGGAATGGCTCTATAGATTAGTCACTCAACTCATTTCTTTCTTATCTAACTCTCGTTTCCTAACCATTTGTTGAACTTTCGCATGATCTTTTTGCGAAATGTAAGATATAGTTCAGTATTTATAGCTTGGTTTTGTTCATTTAGTCCACATGTTGGTGCACTTTCTTCAAGTTCAATAAAAAAATCTGGCTCATCGTTTTGATTGATGGAATTTCTTCTAATTGATTTGACTTCAAATGCTGTATATGGCATGATAAGAACCTCTTTTTCGTGTCCATACTCAGATATTTCCATTATGCTTAATGCACTACGTCTAGTACGTATTTTGTAAGTACAAATTGCGGTAAATTGCTGTTTGTTTACGTCAGCACATTTTAGTGCAAATTTCTTAGCCACTGAGTAATCGAGGGATGTAGATAAAAATGCTTTGTTCATTATATGTGATCCAACTTCGTATTGACCTAAATCGTGCTGTGTGATTTTCATCCCTCGATAACATTCACCAATGTAACTCATTCGATCAAAGGCACTATGCGTAAACAAAATTTGCAAATAACATTTCATTCCACAGCGATTAACATTACCATTAGCACTTTTAAAATTACCACCAATTATTGCGAGTTGTTTATTTAAATGCTTGTAAAAATCAGTTGGAGCTGTGTAAGCTTTAATTAAATAAATAGGATCCTTTGTGTTTATTGCTTGATCGAAATAAGTTTTTATTCGTTCGAGATGTCGTGATTCCCTAAACTCAATATTAATAAAATCAGTTTGAACTTCATGCACAAGCCAGTCAAGATTACGACCTTCCCATGAGTGTTCGATTATCCAGCGCCATTTTTCGGCTTCTCTATGAACATTCTCATCAACTTTCATCCATTCAATTTCACCATCGTGACAGACAAATCTTTCACTTTCATTTTCACGAAGAAAAAGCCGTCTAATTTCAATGTCTTTCGATTCAGATTCCGGTGTATAACCATAGAAATTTCTTATTGAACGAGATGCGCCTCGCTCTAGCAATAATCGAACTATCTCAATATGTCCATAATAAGAAGCAGCATGTAGGGCAGTGCTTCCGTTCGGTTCAATGCGGTCTATTTCACCCAGAGTCAACGTACTAAGTAATTCTTTTACCCTGTTTATGTCGTTGTTACGACACGAACTGTAAAGTTCGCTCACAGTGAAATTATTTCTTGCCATTGAAATGTCTTACTTGCTTAGAAGTGTGCGAATCATTTGAGCCAAGTGTCCAAAATGATTTCGGTATATACACGTGTTTTCGTCTAATAAAACAAGCAGTGTTCATTCTATTTTGCGGATGTGCATGTGTGACAAAAAATAAAACTCTGATCAAATTTGAACTACGGCATTTGACTCTAAACAATATTTGGTGACTATACTCTTCTCGGTTTTTATATTCCGATGATTTCAAGGAGTTTTGAACCTATTTAGCATTACAAACTTGATTTTCATACGCTGAAGTAATAATCGACTACAAAGATTAAATGTATTCAATAATATAGCTTCACTGAGGAACATCACCAGGGTGTTACAACATAATTACTGTTGCCATTCTTTACCTCGATTTTGTCGCTATGTGCACAATGCTTCATAGTAATTGTGAAGATTTCCAAATATTGATAAGTCCTAATCGTTTTTATAGATAACAGTTTTTCTAGCGTGGGGACCTCAGAATATGATTAAGAAAAACCATTAAGCAGACAATCATCTCTCGTTAGGTCTAACAATAAAAACTCAGGAACAATTAGCCTTATCAGAACGAAATACGCTGCTACTACAATGTGAAAACTAGTTCAAAAACGAAAACAAATGAGAAATGTCACAGTTAATTCCAGAAAAAAATGTATATTTACTATGTCTTATGGTAATTAAAAAATGACTCCTAACTTGTTTTCATTATTAGAGGACAGAGTAGTATCGCCATTTTGCGTATGTTAGAATGAGAATTCTGTAGTCATCACTATTTAGTTATTACCAATGAAGCGTATTCCGACAATCCAGTTCGATCAGACTCCATCGATATCCGATCGGATTTTAGATGAATTTCTATAAAACCAACAAATTCATATCAGTTGCCAGATCACGGAATAACATTCGCATCCATAGTGTCGAAATATCATCAGATCCTACCGTCAGATTGTGACGGAATCCAACGTTCGGCTCTGACTACCCTCTTTCGTTGAATTGTGGTACTAATTATTATTAAATTATTTTTTGAATAGCTTTTCCGTCGGATCCGTTATCGGATTCATATATTTGGGTATTCCAAAAAGTGATGATGTTTCTACTCTTTATGTGGAATTTGAACTAACTTTTCATAGAGCATTGAAGCTCATTTTCAAAAATACTAAGGAAATATCATTGAGTTTCGATTTTGTCCGAAAAACATTCTTTTCTTCAGAAAATTGAATTTAAATTCTACTTGCAATGAACTAGAAATTCCCTGAAAGTTACAACACGTTTTACGATACAAAATAAGTTGAAAATGTTTGCAAATAAACTAAGTAGTTCGCTTTCAAGGACAGAATTTATTTAAGATTGAAAACGCTATAATAAAAAGGAAGAATCCATTTATTTTTTAAAGTACGGAACAATTCAAAATTGTTTAATTGTCTCATAGAAATGCTGTTAGATTAGTTTAAAATCAAGAATACTCACTTGCTTAATGATATTGAAATATATGTTATTTGTTTTACGTTTTGTTTGCAATTGACTTTTTGACGCATTTGTGGATGATGAAATTGCTTGGTTTTTCCCAACTTTCTTTTGCTTTCTTCACATTAATGAAGCGTGACATTTTTTCATACAATACGTCGTGGGCTTCGTAAGCACGCGCTTATCGTTGTAGGTACCCACATTTTTTTATACGTTCTCCTTGATACTTTTTTTTTTCCTTTGCACTACATGTTGCTGCAACAAGAAAACGTGCGCCGATGTCCCTACATAAAAGCGTATTCATATTGGACGACGAAATGTTTTGGATTGTAGAAAATGTGAATCAATAGTCTTGCGATTTGAGATACGAAGAAAATTTGGGAGGAGATGTCCCATGTCCTCAAAATCGATCAAAAATTGGCGATAAATCGCGATTCATCGAAACGATAATCGTGAGCTGAAACGCGATTAATCACCGATATTTTATGATGCTTTTAGCGATACATATGATAAATTGCGATTTATTAATGTATAATTCTATATATAATCGTGAGTGAAATCGCGTATATAACCTGATATTATCGCTATTACCAGCGATTTGATTTATTTTATAAGCGCTGTAATCATACTTCAATCAACTTTTATTTCAAAATATAAATCACTTTGATCACATCTAGGAACACATTTAGAAGAAAAAACAAGTCACTAAAGTTATCTACTGCTTTTCATATATTTCACTCGTAAGATAAAATAAAACGTAGAGAAAAAGTAATATTATAGTTAACGTATAACAAATGGAATTACAAAAAAATCACGTTACAAATCATGTATGTTGATTGAGTTGTAAACATAGGATACGCTAATGTTTTCAAAACGTAGCCAATTGAATCTTTAAATATAAAGTTCACATAGAATAAGTAAGTGGAATCAAATATATACACAAAAATGAAAATAAATGTCTAAAATCATAATAAAAATATTATCATAAACATCGTAACATACCGGTTAGTAAGAATATTCAATGTTTACGAAGTTATTGAAACTTACATTATTATTAGAATTGTTTATTAATTTCTTACACATTAAGGTAATGTTGTGTTGATGAAAACAAATTTGTTGATTGATGTTCGACATTATTAACAAGATTATTATTATCTAAAAAAATAAAATCGCTGAAACACAATTTAGGACTCATCTAAGAAGAATTATACCATGTTGAATCATATTCTTTCGGATCTTTGTCTTTAAATTTCTTCTTTTTGACTTGATACATTCGAGCATTGGTCCACACACAGTTGCCAGTTCATCGGCTGTTAAGCCGAACTTTACTTGAACAGCATCTATAATAAAAAAAGCTATATTGTTTCATGATAATGTGGATTTTTACCTCGAATAATTGTAACACGATTATCTGTATCTATGTCACGTGGATCAATATCAAGTAATTGGGTGTGGGTGTGGGTGTGGGTGTGGGTGTGGGTGTGGGTGGTGTGGGTGTGGGTGTAGTTGTTGGGTATCGTTGCCTCACCACATCGGCATCCCACCTACACCCCAGCCAGGGTGTGGGTGTGGGTGTGGGTGTGGGTGTGGGTGTGGATGTGGGTGTGGG